AGAGAGAGAGAGAGAGAGAGAGAGAGAGAGAGAGCGCGCTCAGGTAGCATAGTAGTTGAGCCGAGCTGCTAATCTCAGGGTCAACAAACAGTTCTAAACTATCAGCTGTTCCATGGGAGAAAGATGAGGCTTTCTGCTCCAGTAAAGAGTTACAGCCTTGGAACCCTATACAGGGGTTGCTCTGAGTTGGATCCAACTCCATGGCACACAACCACCACCATTATATATATATATATGTTGTTATTGTTAAGTGCTATCAAGTTGTTTCCAAACCACAGCGACCCTGTATAGGGTTTCCGAGGAGCAGCTGGTGAGCTTGACCTACCAACCTTGTGGTTCAAACCCACTTTGCAGTCCAGAGCATTAGCCCACAGCGCCATACCAGGACTCCATATATATAGCCATTGCAAATTGTAAAAACACAGTAATCTTTAAAAAGAAACAAATCACTAGAATACATCAATACTTTGATTTGATACTGTGACCAACCTCCTCTTTCAACACAATGTAGGAAATTATTAACTGCTTGCATTTTGCTAGTAGCAAATGGTATCTTAAGCATGGCTCAAAGTTGATGAGCCTTAAATAACCCGTTAGAGTTCTGATGAAGTTGTTCCTGCCTCTCCCACATCAGCCCCCACAAATACGTTCACAGATACAATCATTGAGTGCATACATACCATATTTAAATTTCTCTCATTAAATCCACATATAACAAAAATGAGATTTCCACACAGCTCCTTCAGAATGACATGGGAGCAAATATGGGTACTCAGCCACTTTAGGATTGCATTCTGAGGAAGAAATTGTTTGACTCCAAATATCTCCTAAAAAAAGAAACAAATCCAACAATATCTCAGTATCTCTTTTTGGTACAAAGGATTCCATGACTCAAGTACTAAATTCTATGACTGAAATGGCAAAATTAGGATTCTAACTAGGATACTTACGTGATAAACTCACTCACATGAAATCAGATTATTATTTCCCCAAATCTTACAGACATGAATTTAAAAACTTAAAATGAAGAGAAGAAAGTGTAATCAAATCATTTCACTGTGCACTTCCACAATGGGAAAGGGCCTTAAATGATCAGTCATCCTAGGGTTATGCCCAAAAATTTTGACTCTAGACTAGCAGTGCCTTCTGAGAAAAAAATGGAAGCTGTGATTGATTAGAAATGTCTGACAAAGGCATCCATCCCAATCCAATTGTATGTGTTAAATGTACTTGAGAGGTGGGTTGGCAAGCTACAGCCTATATGTCCAATGTGGTCACATATGACAGCTGCACACCTATTTGAAGCTCACTATTAAAATCAAGTTAATAGGACAATGCACTAGTGACCTAAAGCATGATATATCAAACTTTCCTTTAGACTGACAAAGGAAACAAAGTTGACTTTTTTCTTCCATCACGGCTACAGCAAACACTGATGTGGCAAATTGCCCTGAAAACTACATCTGTATATACAGAAATGACTACATAAATCTGTTCATGTCAACTTCAGGTTCTTTACAATTTACACCTTTGTATTTTATCCACCACTCATCTGTCAGTTTGTCATCCTGTGGTGGCTTGCATGCTGATGTGATGTCACCAGTATTTTAAGTACCAGCAGGATCACCCATGGTGGACAGGTTTCAGTGGAACGTCCAGACTAAGACAGGGTAGGACAACGAAGAGGCGCCTACTTATAAATGTTTAATCACTGAGACCTTATAAGCAGCAATGGAACACTGTCAGATATAGTGCTGGAAGATTAAGACATGATGTAAAGGACCAGAATATTGTCCGAGCTTACGTTGGAAGACATTCAAAATATGACTGGGGAAGAGCTGCCTCCTCAAAGTAGAGTTGACTGAGATGACGCAAATGAAGTAAAGCTTTCAGGATCTTCATTTGCTGATGGGGCACAATTCAAAATGAGGAGAAACCACTGCAAACATCCATTCTTACTCAGAACATGGAATGTATGAAGCATAAATCCAGAAAAATTAGAAATTGTTCAAAAACTAAATGGAATGTATAAAGATTGATCTCCTAGGCATTAGGGACCTGAAATGGACTGGATTTGGCCATTTTAAATCAGATACTCAGATGGTTTACTGTGCGAGGAACAACAGATTGAAGAGGAATGGTGTTTCATTCATTGTCAAAAAAAAATTTCAAGATTTATCTTGAAGTGCAATGCTGCCTGTGATAGGATAAAAACCACACACCTACAAGGAAGATCAGTTAATACCATGATAATTCAAATATACACACCAACCATTAAAGCCAATGATGATGAAGTTGAAGAATTCTATCAACTTCTTCAGTCTGAAATTGATCAAACATGTAATCAAGATGCATTCATAATTACAGGTGATTAGAACATGAAGGTTAGAAACAAAGAGAAGGGTCAATAGTTGGAAATTAAGGTCTTGGTGATAGAAATGATGCTGGAGATGGCATGATAGAATTATGCAAGATAAATGACTTATTCACTGCAGACACTTTTTAAACATAAAAGATAATTATACATATGGAACTCACCAGATGGAATATACAGTGGTTGAATTAACTAAATCTGTGGGAAGAGACGATGGAAAAGATCAATATCAGCAGACAAAACAAAGCCTGTGGCCAACTGTGGAACAGACCATCAATTGTTCATATTCAAGTTCAGGCTGAAGCTGAAGAAAATTAAAACAAGTCCACAAGAGCCAAAATATGACATTGAACATATTACACCAGGAATAAGAGACCTTCTCAAGAACAGGTTTAATGCATTATACACTAATGATTGAAGACATGAAGAGTGATGGGATGACCTCATGATCATCATACAGGTAAAAAGCAAAAGTTCATTGAAAAGACCAAAATGGAAGAGACTCTGAAATTGGCTCTCCAGCATAAACATGCTAAAGCAAATGGAAGAAATGAGGAAGTATAAGTTTCAAGAGCAAAAACTTTACTTATCAAACAAAGGTGTGCCTGACCCAAGCAATGGTATTTTCAATAGACTCATATTCATGTGAAAGTTGAGCAATGAATAAGCAAGAATGTAGAAAAATTGATGCATTTGAGTTATGGTGTGTTGTTGTTAAGTGCCATCGAGTCAGTTCTGACTCAGAGCAATCCTGTATAGGGTTTCTGAGGAGCAGTTGGTGAGCTTGAACCACTGACCTTGTGATTCAAACTGACCTTGCAGTTGAGCCATTAACTCACAGCATCACACTAGGTGTGAAAGAAGAAGATTAAAGGTACCATGAACTGCTAGAAGAACAAAGAAATCTGTGTTGGAAGCAGCACAATCAGAGTGATCCTTAGAACCAAGATGGCCAGACTTTGTCTCTCATCTTTAGACATATTATCAGGAGGGACAAGTCCCTGGAGAAGGACATTATGCTTGGTAAAGTGGAGGGTCAGTGAAAAAGAAAAAGACCCTAGACAAAATGGATTGGCACAGTGACCGCAGAAATGAGCTCAAGTGTACCAACAATCGTGAGGATAGTGCAGGACCGGGCAGTGTTTTGTTCTGTTGTGCAAAGGATGGATCACCAGAGTCAGAATCAGCTCAATGGCATCTAACAACATTTTGAGAAAAGGATTCAAAGAGATATTTAAGTTTCAAGAAAGTAACATGTATTGTCAGAGCAATTAATTCAAGGTTTCATGAACATTTGCCATTCACTTTGTCACTCACCCAGGAAGCACAGTTATCTGGGACAGCAGGCTCCAAATGCCAATCTGTTTCACCTACATTATAATCACGTAGGGTACTTTGTAAAACTACAGACTTCTGAGCCCTACTCCATGTTTAGCAAAACACCCTCTCCACAGGTATGTGAGAGTAAAAGGTTGCTGTTGTTAAGTGCTATTGAGTTGGTTCCGACTCATAGTAGTATTTCCAAGAAGCAGCTAGTGGGCTTGACCTGACAAACTTTCAGTTAGCAGTCCTGTGTTTATAATACAGCACTACACCAGGACTCCAGGATCAGGCGTAGGAGTTTATATTTTTACACAGCTATTAAATCCGAATCTCTAAGAACCAGGGCACTAAGAATAGTTATTGCTATGAAGATTCTCCAGTGTAGGGAAGCAGGTAATTCGTAAACTGCTGCTGAGGGCTTACACTGTAAAGCCACATTGAAAGGCAATATGTATTACATTAAAAATGCACTTTCTCTGTGACTCAGCACTTTCACTTCCCCATAGGCACTCTATATATAGAAAGACTCAAGAAAGGGCACAAGGAGGATATATTGATTCACAAGGACATAGCAACAGCAAATTAGAAACAGTCTAACTGTCCACTATAGAAGACTGCTGAAATAAAGACTGGTTCTAATAATGGAGGAAAAACACAGTAGAAGCTTCTATGCTAACATGATAGCTTTCCAAGAGGGGGAAAAGGTCATTTGTTGCAGAGGCACATGAGAGGGCTACAAAAAGTTCATGGAAAAATGGAATTAAAAAATAATGGACTTTTTCCAAGAACTTTTTGAAGGCTCCTCATATAATAAGGTACTATTTAAATTAAGCAAATAACATATTTCTTTTGTTACACATTCATATGTATGTAAATTCATACATGAAGTCTACAGAAAATTACCCCAAACTGAGTGCTATGCTTAATTCAGTGACCGAGGAGGGGATAGGTAGAAGAAGGCTTGGTAGTTGAGAGGTACTAACCTTTACATAGTTTAAAATGAAAATTGACACTTCCACAAGGGGGTTTTCACAAAGTTCATGGACAGACTGAATGAAAAGATAAAGGAGAGAGGTGGCAAGATGGTGGACGAGGCAGAAATGTTACATAGACCCTCTATAATAAAAAATAGGGGAAACCAAATGAAACAGATGCAGACCATGAGCTTCATATGAAAGGATAGAGAAGCGGACAGACTGCCTGCTAGGAGACAAAGCTGAACAGACGTGACAAAGAAAGGAGACAGTCTGGTGACCTGTACTGGTCAGACAGACACAGTGCAGTCATCTTGAACTTTCTCAAGTGGTTTTAGAGACAAAGAGCAGCCTGGTAGTGTAAGGGCATACCAGAGACTCCCAGACATACAGGTTCACTTTTTTTTTTCTTGTTCCCCACACTATCTAGGTGACCAGAGATGTGGCTAGTCCCCACCCAGGTACAATCCAGTGAAGCTCCCACTTTCCCAGTAGTCGGAGCTGCATGGTGATGAGCTGCACAGTTGTGAGTCATATCAAAATGAGCTAGTTGCTATCTGCATCCTCAGTGTCTGAATTCAGGAGAGCCCTGCTCTAAACCTGCAGATCCAACCTTGGCCAGCCCTGGACTAGCCCAGGGCTACAAAAAATAAAGAGACAAACTGGACCCAGAAATGAAGAAGAGGGAGGAGTCAACAGAACAGCTTAAAACAAAAGGGTCTCCCAAAACCACTTGAGCCAACCCTGGCTTGTTTCTCACTAGGAGAAAACATCTGAGCAGGCTTGTGAAAGGGGAGAGAAAGAGACTGAAAATTAAATCTTGAGTTATGTCATAAAGTTATGTCATAACATCTTGAAATATTTTTGACGGCCTTGAAGACAAGAAGTCGGGAGAGGGGCATTAAAGTCTGACTCATATTTTACAATGGGTTTCTTTTTATTTTGTGTGTGTGTTTTTGTGGTAATTATAGACTTGAGTGTAAAATCTGATTTTGTTTTTT